GTTCAGAAGATATTTCCCCAACGAAATGTAGATTTATGGGGTTTAACTGTGCAGTCGCAGTTCAGGGTGATATATCTTTCATAATTCATAACGCATAGCCGGCGCTTTGAAAAGAAATGCGAATGCTTTACCAATATCAATAAAAATGAAAAAGAAGTGGCGCTGTAAAGCTATTTTGTATGTTTCATTGAAACGCTGTTCCTAAAGAACAGTCATTATAATCTTTTTCCAAATACGTGGAATGTGTGAGATTTTTGTTTAGTTCTAGAATCCACTTTGAAGGCAATAGAGCAAAAACTAATGAAATGCAATACTTGAATTGGTTTTAACAACAAATAGAACCTTAAATTTGAACTTGATTGTTAGTGCTCGACGTTTTTCAAGATAGGCATTTTTAACATGTACAGGGTGTCCTGAAAGATGAAATTTTCTTTTACAGAGCGAATAGGACAGGCAATAATAAACAATTTTTCTTAATAACTCATATATTATTAAATGGCACATTGCTAGAACAATAACGTAGTTATCGATCTGATGTTAGCTTACTGCCAGGATCTTCAAGATCCTATTCATAGAGTAGTTACAATAACGGTCACAACGTGGTTCTCGATGTTTCCATCAAAGCTGCAAAGGTTTGTTTTCATGCAAAATCCGTTTGTGCGGGTACGGTAGGAGATATAGACATCAGCCCCAAATATTGCAAATTTGGGAAAAAGTGAGCAAACTCGTGTTTTTAAATCAAACAGTGACAACTTCCAGTTGTATTTACAATCAGAATATGTGACAGGGTAGCTCCTGAAATTGTTTACCAAATCAATAATGATTATTTTCTATTCAATTTCTTTTTTCCTTCTTCGGTGCTGTTTTACCGCAAATTAGCTTTGCTATTTTGAACGTATTAGCATCCGAAAAGGAAAGTCCCAACTTTCAGGACACCGTGTACCTGCACAGCTTGAAAATCGTCGTGAAAATGGAAGCCAAGATCTCAATGAAGTATAATGTCAATATACATATGTGCTTTCATTTGGCCCGAGAAACATATAGTTCTATGAGGGCACATAAATTCTACACTACAAGCTATGCGATGGTTGAATAACGACCGAATAGCTGAAGAAAATCGTTGTGAACCTAAGTTTTCTTGTTTAAAATCCAATGCTTCAGTTTCTAGGAAATATCTTATTTTCAACAGGCTTTTATTAGCTTGATCTGTATCTATACAGGGTGTTAATAAAGTATGTAGACAAACTTCAACCATCGAATCCTTGGTCAATTTGAAGACTAAATGTTCATATGAACATGGGTCCGTAACGACTTTATTAACACCCTGTATAACGCAATCTTCCAGCCTAATTATCACCAATTTCAAGAAGTCTGAAAACTTGGAAATTTGCACATAGGTCAATGGCTGATGACAAAAGAAGAATCTTCGAAAAAAATTTCGACATTTTTCAAATTTTCAAATTCATAAAGAAGCTTGACTTGTAAATTTGAAAAGAAATTGTAAAATTTTGCAAAAAAACTTAAAACTTTGAAATTTGAAAGAATTTGGAATAGAATATAGAAGAAAACGAAGATCTTGATTGTAAGTACTGTTATTACTTTGAGGCAAAAAAATCAGTTAATACTTTATACAAGGTATCTCAAAAGTCATCAGACAAACTATACAGGGTGTTTCAGTTTATTGTTGCATAACTTTAAGATTCGATAGAACTTTTAAAATGAATGCATAAAGTCTATATAAACATGGGTCGAAAAATGCGTGGCTTCCGAAATACAACTATTTCGAACAATACTTGATGCATAACAGTGAAAATTGCAATACAAGGGTTTTTTGGTACGACAAAACGAACCGTGGGCATAGTTTTATTGTAGCCGCTAGAGGGCGCTCTCTACTGTACCTGTAGTGTATTAAAATAACCGAAAATTTTTTCATACTGCAATTTTTTGCTTTTTGAATGAAAAAACTGATTCTTCGCACTTTTCAACATGAAAAAGCTCTCCTGTGAGTTTTCGTTATAGTTAGAGCCGTTTTTGAGATACTTTGATTTTTAAGGTTCGATGCATTTTTAATTATTTATGGGAAAATAATATTTTTTTTTTACATTTTCGGTTTGGGCATTACAAGTAATTCAGATGATAGTTTAGATTGTGTTTTTAAACACAGCAATAATTCCTAACTACAAATAAACACAAAAAAACAGAGAATATTAATTTGTTTAATTTTCCAATATTATTTTTAACAAATTAAATTAATTATGTACAACTAAAATGCTATTGGATAGTTAGGGCAAACATACAAAATCTAAAGTAGTTGCTCGAAATGTAAACCCAATTGTTCAATACACAATTCACATCTACGAATGATCGAACGTGGTATAGCATTATTCAAATAAGGCCTTATTTCATCACATGCATTCCTGATTCTGTCTATTAGCATATCTCTTGTGGTTACGGGAGTCTGGTATACTTTTTCTTTTAGAAATCCCCACACAAAGAAATCTAATGGATTTAGGTCAGGGGATCGTGGAGGCCAGGCGACTGGTCCTCCACGGACGATCCATCTTTCTGGATCATTTTCATCCAGCCAGTTTTTAACTAACCTCGAATAATGAGCTGGACAACCATCAAGCTGGAACCAGGCCAATCTTCTTAAATCTAACATAACATCATCCCACATATTTGCATGATCAGCCTTTAAAAATTTCAAGAAGTTCGCAGCATTTAACCTTGCAGGCAACAGGTAGGGTCCAAATAGTCAATTGCGGTAGATACCAATCCACACGTTCGCACTAAATTCATGCTGAAAATTTCTTTCCCGAACTGCATGCAGATTTTCATGCGACCAAATATGTTGATTATGAAAATTTACCACTCCACGTCTAGTGAAGCATGACTCATCGGTCCATAAAACGTTACTTAAAAACTCCCTATTATTATCAGTTCTATCAAGAATCCACTGACAAAATGTGATTCTTCGTTCTCCGTCCCCTGGCTGTAGTCCTTGCACAGGTTGCAAATGGTAAGGACGTCTATGGTCATTTCTAAAGACACGGTGAACATGGCTTGCTGAAATTGCCAAAAGACCAGAAACTCTCCTAACACTTGTGGTCAGATCTCTATCAAACTCACGCAGAATCGTACGGATAAATCTGCGCTGACGAACATTTATATTTTGATCCCTTTGGAGATTTCCAAAACCATTTTCAATTATTTGGCGATGCACTCTTACAAATACTGAGCGAGTTGGATGTCGTCAGTTTGGAAATCTTCGTGCATATTCTCTGACTGCTTCTGCTGCGTTTCCATTTACAAAGCCATACACAAACTGAAAATCCGCTAACTCTTGATTGGAGAATAAAAATGGCATTTTTATAAAACTTATACATCAAATATTGTTCGAAATATTTAAAAAAAACTATTTTAGAAAGTAAATTTAAACACCCTGTATTTCGGAAGCCACGCATTTTTCGACCCATGTTTATATAGACTTTATGCATTAATTTAGAAAGTTCTATCGAATCTTAAAGTTATGCAACAATAAACTGAAACACCCTGTATATCCCTTCCGGTTTTTGTGTTATCGCCATTTTGGCGAATTTATGGAAAATCGCTACTCTTGAGACTGTACTACTTTTTTCTGAAGTTTTACTTCATTATTTTGCAATAAGATTTACAGTAACATATCTCAAATGATGTGTCGCTGGAAAAAATCTGAGTGAAAATTTAGTCCAGTTAGTGTAGGTACAGCAATCGGCTAATCTGCAATTTTGTCGTCAAAAATTTTACAGCTTATTTAGCATCTATAGTAATGAGAAAAATCTCGATGCCATGTCCTATAAAAATTCCTGTAGATAATAAAGTACCCTAAATAGTTTTTGCACAAAGTAGACAAAAATGCGGCAGGTACCATGAATTCGGTAGCTACGACTTTTCAAACTCAACCCTTTACCTGCCATTGTTTATCTTCTACCTTCTAATGAGAAAATCTTCAACCACAAAGAAATGCTAGGTCTCGTCAATGTACGGGAGGGCGGCCCTGATCTGATTTTGGGTAATAGAAGGGTTGTGGAAATCCCGCCATATTACCTGACGAATAGCCTATTTGAACTACCTGGTATATAAAGTAATAAATAATTTTCAAGTATAGGAGAGTTTGTGTTGCTGCTATAGAAAGTCCAACAATCAAGCGTGATCAATTAATTTAGAATGAGATCAATATAAGAATTGAGATATTTACAACAAACTCAGCTACAGTAAAAAATCAATTAACTATGTTTTCATAATACCACCAATTCCGTAAATAGCAACTAAAAAGATAATTCTAACATTCAATATCAATCACTCCACTTTTTTTCTATAATTAATTTTTTTTGTTGGCATCTCAATTTTTATATAATATTCTTCCATATTAATTAGTCACACTTGATTTTCTACTTTTTAGATCTATATGCCATAAAAGCGTGTTTTTTATTTTTTTAGCTATAATTGATTATAAATACGAAGAGCCTAACACCTTTAACTTTAAAACAAATCCGTCGAAGCAAAACGTAGTTCTTCACTTTCTTTATAGATATACCCTATAGGAATTGCTTTATTCTTTGAAAGCAAGAAGTAAGGCATTTTTATATATACGACCATCTGAATCCTTGCTATTACTACATTTGTGGCTTCCAGCAGATCTTTTTATCGGAAAATTAGCTTTATTGATTGGCCTATTTTCGGACTACCAGCTATTCCGTTACAACAAAGCTAACACATATAAAACATCCTAGATGATCCAAATATAAGGGGTGCAGGTTCTTATCGTCATTCCTCTGCGGATTCCGAAAAATTCAATGGACTAACGCGTTTCTTCCCTCGATAATGATGTTTCCCTAGACCAGTAGTCGCCAACCTTTTCAGTGTGTTGAGCTACTTTGGTAATCTTGGAATAAACAGCGAGCTACCTAGTCGTACGCAATGTGATCCAGCTTGAATCAAATTATACACAGATGTATGCGATGTGTGACCTGCATAAAGCAGTTGACAATTCAGGGATACAAACATTTGCTGACGACACCCAAATAATATTCCATTTCGACGCCTCAGATACGCAAAATTCATCAGACATTTTACAGCTTGATTTAGATAAGGTACATCAGTTTTCTATGGAACATAATCTTGCTATTAATCCAGATAAGACACAAGTGTTGTTGTTTTGTTCTGATCAGAAGAGGAAAACTGTCGAAGATTCTTTCCATCTGACTACTGATGGCATAACATTACAGCATACTTAAACAGCTAAGGTACTAGGAGTGGAAATTGACACACAATGATTCCGCAGCCAAATAGCTAATTTTATGAAAAAAACTTACCTGTATTCTAGGGCTCTTTATTCCAATCGCTACTTGCTTAACTTTAATCTGAGAAAAAAACTGTGCGAATCTTTGGTGATGTCAATGCTCAGTTACTGTGATGTCGTTTATTATCCATGTTTGGATCAATTGACCAAAAATCGTCTTCAAATCATGCAAATGAACTGTGTTCGCTTTATTTATGGGTTGCGTAAATACGATCACGTAAGTGATAAATATAGGGAACTGAACTGGCTTAGGTTAGGAAGTTTGGTTAAACATAAATTCTTAGTTTTAGTTCATGAAATAATATTGTCATCAAAGCCTGAATATCTAAGAGCTAAGTTAAGATTTAATTACGAAGTGCATGACAGGGCTGTTAGGAATCGTTATAGTATCAGAACCACCCCACACACTTCTGCATTATTCCAACATATATTACATATAATGCAGCACTATTTTAGAATCAGTTGGACAACAGTATTAAATTGATGTCTTTGGAAAGTTTTCGTAAACATACTAAAAACATGTTGCCCGCTATTGATTAAATAAGCATTTCTGCTACAGATATAGATTGTGTCTATTTGTATTTTATACTTAGGTATATATGTGTTCTTTTTTTTTCATTGTTCTTATTTTTTTTCCATGTTTTGAACATCAGATGTAACCGACATAAACAGTTAAGTGTAAGAGTAGCCTTGGCTAAACTTCGCTGTTTATGGCCCTCCGGGTTATCCAATAAAGACGTTATTATTATTATTATTATTATTATTATATACATGTATTTATTTTACTAATACTAATACACACTAAAATAAACTAATAACTAATACATGCTACATAACTACATCCATTACTATCAATCATAGGCATTTGAAAAATTAACAAAAATTTTCATCAGCTACAATGGCATGTCACATGACCTAATAAAGGTAAATAAGAATGAAAAAAGCAACGCACTATTTTAAATAACAACATCTCCAGGTGAAAAATGCGTGTTCAATGAGAAGCCTGACACACAATGACCATTTTTTTAATGTTTGGAGTATAATTTCATACCGCAATTACAGTATTTGTTTTTAATAAACTTCGTATTTGAAAAAGAACATTCACACAAATAGGTTGAACTAAATAACTCTCAAGGCAACACGACATAAAACTGAATATTTATCTTTACTCACTGAAGGCCAGATACATTTTGTATTTGAGACTAATGATTTTAAAGCTAAATCAATTTGAAACGCAGTTACTTCCATTTCTGTCGCAGCGATGTCTTCGTTAAAAAACTTTTAGATATCAATGTCCATGAAGGGTGTACCAACAAATTGCGCCACTATAGCAATTTCGTTGAAATCCTTGAATTGTTTCAGTATTTCCTTTTTGGTTGCAGAACGTAATAGTAGGGGAGCCTACGATGCTAAATCGGGATTTACTCGACCGTCGACCTATTGGGTTGCGAAGCTTAGATGATAAAACGAAAAAAATGTCTTATAATATATACCTTTTCATCGGTGGGGGAAGCGGCTATAGATTTTCAAAAATGTAAAAAAAACTGTTACATGGACATACTGGAGCGCGTCAGATATTGATATCATCCATGTCCTATGTATTATAATTATAAATAATTACAGGATATTTTTTGAGTAGTTTTTTTAATTATCTTTGTCGGTAGAATCATTTTCCTCATCTGGCTCGATTTCATTCTCAGATTGCGTATCTGTAACAAAAATTCATTAAAACATTTAGTGATATTTTTTCTTATGAATAACGTGTTTTTTAATTATATTTACTAGATGAAATCTTATTAGCACTTACTCGTCTGTCGATGTACCAACAGCCTCAGTAGACGCGGAATAAACAATAGCATGTGATTTGGAACACTCTCCAGAAACAGAAGGATGTGGTTCGGAGATATTCCCAGAAACTTGTGATGCAATGTCATGATCCATTACACTTTGCTGTGATTGCAGATACTGAAAGTCTCGCGGTATTTTCATTGCTGTAAATAATTTATAGCACTCTATCGAAAGTTCTAGATTATCGCATGTCGTTCGAGATTTTCGGAAAACCGGTTTGCTCCGGCGATATTCTAAAACATTCAAATATTTTTGTAATGTTTCTAATGTAAATTTAATTTTTTTTGCACATAACTAATAATAAAATCACAAAATAAGCAAAGCGTTGGTAATACGTTGTAAACAATATAATGCCACAAACGAGCTGTATGATCAGCTTTCATGGCGTCATGGCAACAGCAACCAGAGTGGGGACAGAGTGAGAGAGTAATACATAGAGAAAGAGTGAGAGAGAAATAGAAACGCGGAGAGGAATATAGGCATCCTGTAGCTGCACGCATCAAACTTCATCGATTAATTTTATTACTTCGGCTTGTGAAAATCGTCAGAGTATATATTTTTCGTAACCCTTGAATTATTCCCTTCAAAATAAAAATAAAAAATTGCCACGCTCGAGAATGTCGAGATGACGTTTCTTTTTACAACCTTGTAGCCCTCCCCCTTCTCTGCGTCACTCTCAAATTGTTAGATTAGTCGAATATACATGTTTTAGCATGTAACTAACTCACCTTACTTTAATCTGACGCGCTCGAGAACTTCAGATGATCATTTTTTTTACTAATCTGATCCTTTATCCTTGACGGGCGACCATATACTGGTATAAGCGGCTCATATTTGGTGGAAGTACTTAAATGGGTACAAGGTATACTCCTGTATATTCATCTGCCGCGGTTTGGTAAATCCCCAAATCCCCGCCTGGGCTCCCCTACTATAATGGGAATGATTTTTCAAAATTCGAATGTACAGTTCATAGTGCCTCTCGATATTCCCTGTGCTAGCAACGTAAACAGATGTATTACATAACAAACATAGATTTTTGCCTTTAACTACTGTAAAGAAATATTGTTCTTCCCATTGCGAATGTAAATGGTATGTCTTTATCTTCTTACAACTGCTCATACTGTTTTTCATTGCAGACCAAATCGAACACAAACGCTGCACTTCAGCTTAAAACTGAGCACACTGTCGCCGCACCTTGCGTATTTATTCACTTCAAAGTAATCGAGATCGTTCTCGAACAGATCGCTCACCGCAGTGCTGCCGCCGCTTGTGTTTATTATGAGAATTTACAACCATTTACGGAAGCTTCTATGATTCTTACACCTTTTTGAAATATGTTGTGGGCCACCAGAATTGCCTCTGCGAGCTATCGCTAGCTCGCGATCGACGGGTTGGCGACCACTGCCCTAGGCTATCAAAACAAGGAAAATAATCTGTATTCAATCGTGTCCGTGCTAAGGGTCATCTGAAAGTTCCTTAATCTCATTTACCCTCCAAAACTGATTCCGAGCTTTAGCGTATCACTCATCCCTGAAGGCGAATTCGGTTCGTTTTTCCAAAACGATCACTTCTTATATCTCGTAATCGTCCGTAAGCGAATGAGAGAGTTCTGCTTGATTATCTCTGAAACATTGTCCTCTTGAAAGACGTGACTTTTATAGATTTCATCCATTAACTGAAGCTTAACCAAAGATCTCATCTGACTTTACTGCATTGATTGGTTTTAGCCCTTTCGGACTGAAATGAGAAATTGCCAGCGCGGATTCTATCAAGTCTGATAGTGTGAGAGCTATCTGCAATAGAGTATAGTGGATAAGTCTTTTAGTTTTGGTGAAAAACAATATATTCGATTCCGCTAGAAACAGTATTCATCCCTCACCTTGTCCTAGCCGAAATGTGCAACGTCAAAAAAACAAACAAAATGTCAACTTACCAACTAGTGTACAAATAGTTCATTCCGCCTTTGTTCGCTGTGGCCGTCACCCATAGCGCTACATATGTAGGATTGACTCTCGATATGCCAACGTGCTTTGCTGCCTGTATAATGCCGAGATAGTCTGTAGAGTATATATCTGACTATTTTCTTGTCTTAATTTGTACACATCACAAACGCGCAATTTTAAATTACAAATGGTCTTTAGATGGAAAAATTGCATGTCAGCACCTGTCTGCAGTTCTTTTGAGTTCACCTGTGGCAAAACGTGACAGCTATTGTTACCAAAAATTACACCTTTGATAACAAGTAATTATAGTCTCATACGATACCATAAAATGACGCTAAACAATTTTTCTGATTTTATTGTCAATAAAGTAATATTTGTTTAGCAAAAGACATTCGTATAGGTGCAAAAATCTTCCTCACTCGGATTTTTGTTGCCACCAGCACTCATGCTTCTTGTTAAAATAAAAATAATAATAATTGATTACACGCTATTACACAATGTGTTTGTGCAGGTCAGTTAGAGTAGAACATAAAAGAGGAAGTAAAAACAACAAACAATACGAAAATAAGACAAACGTAAAGCACAAAGTGGCAATAAAAGGTAAAAAAACTTGATAAAACCCAGTTTAAAATTTCGATGAACAATAAGATTAGATGCTTAAAAAATTATGACGTAATAATAATTGCTTACACACGTCTGGAGAACAATAAAATGTTATACAAAAATACACAAACAACACAAACGAAAACAAAGTAATAAAACAAATAGTCAACAATAATTATGGAACAAAATCGGTAAAATCATTACTTAAAAACTCGTCTATGCTGTAAAAAGCTTTCGTCACTAGATATCATTTCACAGTTGCTTAGAAATGATTGAGTTGAGTGTTTGACCAAACCTGGACAGCGCACTAAAAAATTTCACGCCGACATAGTTACCTCCGTATCTAGTTTTTGATAGTCTTATGTACTATGGTATTAATTTATTGTTGAACCTTGTGTTATATTTGTGAATCTTTTTCGGAGTTCTGTAATCATCGTAATTATTTTTAACGTGGAACAGACATTCCAGTATATATATATGCATGGCACAGGTAAAATTTTTAGGTCGATAAATGTCGTCTTGCAGCACTGTCTGAAATGCAATTATGCTATTATTCTCAAGCATCGTCTCTGAACAGCAAACACCTTCGCTACATGACATGAATGACCCCAAATCGGTATGCAGTATTGCAATTTTCATTGGAAGTTAGCAGAATAGGCTGTCATTAAAGTCGATTTTGTTACGTAGGTATTTAAACCACGTAACATATATGGTATTTTGGATAACTTCTTTGATAAAGAGGTACTAAATTGCTTCTATGTGGACGAGTACTGATTAGAAGAGATTGAGTTTTCGCTATGTTGATTGACAAACTGTTGGCATTAAACCAGTTTTGAATGTTTTGTCAAAATGTTGCTGAGAATCGAGTAATACATGGTCAAAGTTACTATTGGAGGATATTGATGTCCTGTCATCCGCAAATAATATATATATATATTGATTGATGCTACAGTTTGGCAGATCATTGATAGTGACATATAAATCCGAACACCCAGTTTAAATGGTTTTATTTTAATAAAATTTTGCATAAGTACTTAATCAAGCATAATAAGTAAATGATAAATATTTCAAAATGATTGCGCTGCTTTAAAGCCCTTTGGCCTTTAATAATGTGTGGATGCACCCTGATGTGCTACGCATTCTCCAACGCGCCTAGGCATGCTTCTGATCAGGTGGTCAATGTCCTCCTGTGGTATCTCATTCCAGGCAACCACCAACTCCTCTCGAAGTGCTTCTAGAGTCTGAGGAGGACGCTGCAAATTGAGCAATCTGCTACCCATCATATCCCACACGTGCTCAATTGGGGATAAGTCGGGAGATCTTGGTGGCCATGGTAACAATGTGACATCATTATGTTGAAAGAAGTCTATTGTGACTCTTGCAACATGTGGTCGGGCATTATCTTGTTGGAAAGTTGGATCTGCCAGGGTGTCAAGATAGGGTAAAAGATGGGGTTCTAGAACTTCGTGGCTATAACGCTGCGCGTTCATGTTACCTCTGATGAAGATTAAAGGTGACCTGGAACCATAAGCTATACCACCCCAAACCATAACTCCAACAGTGTGATGAACATGTCCTTCAACAAAAAACTGTGGATTCCTCCTTTCACCACGTCGCCTTCTAACCCTGGTACGACCATCGTGCATGCCTAAACAAAATCGAGACTCGTCACTAAAGACAATACTGTTCCATTCCTGATCCCAGAGTGACCGTTGTCTGCACCACTCACGGCGATTACGTCGGTGATCTCGAGTTAAAGGGAGGGCGCAGTGTAGCCGGTATGAAAACAAGCCAAAACTTCTCATTCGTCGGTAAACACTTCGCATGCCAATAGGTCTTCCGTGTTCTGCAAACCATTCATTTGCAATGGACCTGGTAGTGGAGAACCGGTCCCTTAAGGCCAATAATCTTAGGCGGCGATCTTCACGGTCTGTTGCTCTACGGCGGCGTTCAGTGCCCCTTGCTCTTTGCGTACGGCCTTCTCGAAGCCATGTCTGACAACACCTAACCACAGTGTCAACACTTCTTTGCACTCTAACTGCAATTGCCCGAAAAGAAAGTCCAGCTTCCCGAAGTCCCACTATACGGCCCCTATCAAACTCACTAAGTTGACGAAATCGTACAGATCTCCGTACTCTAGGCATCGTAACCGATCGTAAAGGATGTCAAGAACCAAAATCCGCCAACGTTGATTCTTTACTGCGGCTGAAATATTCATTTTTAGAGCGTTAGTGAATTAAAATTATATTAAATTTTTATTAAAATAAAACCATTTAAACTGGGTGTTCGGATTTATATGTCACTTAGTATAAATAAAAAAAAAGAATCGGTCCCAAGACACTTCATTGGGGAAATCCGTGCTTAATATGTACATTGTTAGATAAAGAATTTTGAAAACTAACATACTGTCTTCTGCCTGATAAATAAGACACAATTAAGGACAGGCTGTTATTACTAAAATACTACTAGCATTGTGTTTTTTCGATCTTTTTTGGGAAAATTAGATGCTTTTTGATATTACTAATGAGAAGTTTTGAAAGAAAAATAATTGGCCGAGTAGCAAGACCACATCTGGATGATTGTGTGGTGATTGTTTGTATAAAATCAATGATATTTGCTTAGTGATAAAATTATTACCGAATATGCTGCCCATGAAATATATCTATTAGCTGTGCCAAACGGGTTATTTTTGATATGTCGTTTCTGAAGAGATGTTATATTTAAAGTTATATGTAAAGCTTTATTTTTAAAAATAATTAGATGCATTTACCTTAAGAGCCACATCACATAAAAATTAGCATCGCGCACAAAACATATTCTCAGTGCCTCACATCTAAGCGCTGATGTGTTTCTACTTGACATCACAGAGTAAATTTTAATAAAATTCAAATGACTGGAAATAAAAAACAACGTAAAATGTTCACGTTTCATAAATATTCCAGCCTTTTTTCGCACCTGTTAGTTGTAAGCTTCATCAACCAGACAGTTTCTCTTTTTATCTCTCGCATTTTTTTAATTCAGCAAATCTGCTAATATAATTTCCAAAATGAATAAAAAAAAGTGTATGCGCAACTGATTTCTAGCTTTGCATACCTTCATCTCAATTGAGTCTATTTGAGACAAGCAAAAAATAGAATTATGGTACAGTCTGTGAAAAACAAAAGTTCGTCAATTGTTGCCTGACAAAGAAGGTCTAAAATCACTTGAACATACCGTTTGTACTTTATTTTTTGGCCACCTCAAACATATTGATTTTTGTCAATTTTTTCAGAATTGAAAATGACTATTCTAGGCTTTTTGCTGAAGTTGAGTTGTTACTAAGATCTTTTTTGGTTCAAGCTGATCTGGGAAACCCTAAAATATTTGGAGCGTAAAAACAATAGAATGTAATTTGCATAAAAAAATTGTTTAAACAAATTTGTTCCCGGATACCGGTCGGCAACTTTTTAATTCATGATAAGGGCATCCAACACAAGTTATTGTACCAAATGGCAAGTGGGGGTTGACTCTGCACTTCTTAGGAAACGCCAGGGCCAGTTAGGTTCAGCACAAATTAAGCCCTCTGAGAAAAAATACTGGTTACAAACATGTACAACAGAGAAACTAAATGGATCAAGTCAATCAAACAAATCCATGGAATCAGTCCGTAGACATTTTTCTCCTGCCCTAAAGGTAGTTACCGTCCATCTGGCAACGTTGCCCCTCCCCATATCATCAGACGAGGCAACGCAACACCACTAAAGTACATGCAGGACAGTCAACCAAACAGGTAGACAGGGCCGTGAGCCAAGATAGCTGAAGGAGACGAGTATCGAAAACATTTCTTCTCTATCATTCAGTTTTGAAGACACATGTTCGGAGAAACCTATGATGTCTGGAATATGGCTAATAGACAAATATAAGTATCTACCTTGGGAGCATCTAAATATACTACTGCCCTCTATTATCCAAAATTTTCTGTTATATGAGAATCATTAAACGTTATTCCAAATTTATTTGAGCTTACTGCAATAAATACCTTCAGTTGTTGCGTTGTTTCATATTTGAATTGCGAAGCGATGTGTAACAATTCATTGCAAATGCACACAAAATATGCTGAAATTCACATCTGCTAAAGCTATGTAGTCCGTAAACATTCCAAATGCGTTATATAACCCACAGGTCACAAATGTCAGCATCTACCTTTGTTCCACATTTCACATGCGTCAATCGTAGGTGACGATTTTGCCAGAATTCGAAATACACAAATCGATTAACTGAAAACCAGCTTGGATTAATTATATTCTAGAGTCCATATGCATAACCGACGTGCCTTTGGACACATGGCAATATGTTTATAACACATTCCTTCTGTGGCCCATAGGCCTTATATCATCAGCAGGCGAAACCACGGCATAAGCACATGCGGCACCTCTCCTTCGCAATTCTTTTAAAATCAGTTTATGATGAAACTAATAACATTTATTTCCTAACAGATACAGAATCCCTTTGGCAATAGATAGAAAAGTATAGGTACTATCTCTAGGTGACATTCTCTTAGCAGCACATTTCAGTTTAAGATTCAACATAACACTTGTCCTTGAAGCAGTAGAATAAAATATTAATGTTTGTCTAGAGTTAAAGTAATTTAATACGCCAAGACCTGGGCAATGAATAATATCATAAACATACAATTTATAAAGGTTTGACAGTGTCCGTTTTAGCTCCAAACTAATATTGTCCAAAAGGTTTAGCAAAAGGATATAATATGTGGTGCTATTTAAATATTCAATAACTTTCATTGTTTTTTATCTAGAGTTCCTTTATGACACCGATGGTATCTGGACTTTCGAACGGTACTCCAATTTCGAACATATATAAAGGAAAAATAGACATTTCAAGGCTGATTCACTATTAAATTATCGACAATTTCTAACAATAAATCCATACGTTTTGTCATAATGTAGTTCGATAGCAGAAAATGACGTTAAATCAATGACCGACACCAGCCTGCCTCAAGTACGTTTACTTTCAGCCTTAAGACAGCGTTCTGACATTATTTTAACTGACGTTACCTTCTGACAATAAAGATCATTAAACTTAGTGTACCATAAATACATATTGACTGCTATGTTTACTAGCACTAACAGTGATTGTGAATTCATTCAGCCGCTGAGTGCTAGTGAACGTAAGCAATGATTGTCGCAATTGATAAGACTAGCCTCATTACCACGGAGATATCCTGTAGGTCAGCAGTGTTAACAAAAAGAATTCAGTGTTCCTGAATAACATTAACACGAGTTTAGCATATATTCTTTGGTTAACACTATGAACCTCCTTCCACCGAGATGCCATGAACTAATCTATTGCAGTAAATGGCGGCTATCTGAGGTGACGTCTAGTGGCGAGCAACGTCAAAATCGATAGGTTAGTCTGGTCACGGATGATGATGACTTCGCTATGGCGTCAAAGTGACGAAGGGCTCTTACATGCTTCTGGAGCGAGAGACATAAACTACGTACTACAAATTCAGATGCTTATCTATACCTCGAGCTAAGTCCAACACGCCCACTGAATATTAATGATTATAATTCGACTGTATACGCCTTAACGGACCCCTACTATAGACATCTGTAGATTCATTTATCTTATTTGTGACTGGATCAATGAGTGAGACGCATTGTTCTATGCATTGTGGTTATTCATGCATACAATGATACCAAATTTTAATTAGATCATTAAAAAAATGTAATCCACTATGTGACAGCTAACACGTTTAATTATATTAATTAGACTCCGATTTCTAAGACAGTTTACTTGAACTTATGAAACTAGTTTAATTAAGACAAAACGCAATTCAATTAAATTTATTAAACAGCTTACTTAAATTGAGTCACCAGTTTACTAAAATTCAATGATCTATTGAAATGTGTACAACTAAAACAATTCAATTATATTTATTAAATTTGCTTAGGCGAAAGTATTTGCCTGGTTTTAATGAACCATTTTATTTAGGTTTAAAAGCATATTTGGATAATATTTGGAATTTAAACTTGATATTGATATTTGCTGTTTTCGAATCAAAATGAATAATTTCAAATTTTATATCCCTAACAAATTTTATATCTTTTATTTACATTGATTGTGATTTTATTATATCGTACAGTGTGCACTGTATATGGGATCAAGTTTTACCAGTTATTTGTCTGATTGTCCAGTAACCATGTTATATCACCAATCACTAGATGTTACAAATTCAGAGAGTAGGGTGAGGGATATCTGAAACCGTATTGGACTACAATATTGCACTTACCTGCATTCAATATATAAATAACTTCGATGTCACTTTAAACAAACTAGAATATTCTCAAATACTACAAATAGTCTACACCAATAGGAGGCTCTAGTTCCTATGGATATACGGGTAGAATATACAGACTGAATCTATCAGACCATTCCATCAAAGTAGAAAAGGACATCAATCATATGTTAAGCGCATGTTTGGTATCATCATTATTTTTAATCAATGATTGTCTGAAAACTAAGTGGGTAGTAGCCAGTCTTGTAGATATATCTATATGATCGTAACATTGCTGATTAACGGATTATTATTGTGATGCTTGATTCGATTTCTGGTTGTTCGTTGAAGACGCTAGACTTTGTAGTTCTTGGAAATAATAATAAAATATAAAATACTAATTAGAAAAACACCTTGATACGTATGGACATGTCAGGTAATGGATTTCTTACTAATGGGAGAATCTACTCGACGACACCTATACCAGTCTGTGTAACAAACATAAACTACTTCCCTGCGGAATGTTATGTGACTAAATTCTGTACTATAACATACATGTTTAGATGATTATTATACGCTTATACGAGGGATGTCTCTTCAGTTTTGCATATAGAATCATAGTAGGCCGCGCGGATCGAACGTCAGTACTGAATCTTGACCTAACTCCTCAATTTCGGAAACTCAAAAAATCTGTACAGCATTGTTAGTGGTGATGAATCGTGGATTTACTGTTATAAACCAGAAAACGAATGACAGTCGGCTGTTTGGGTGTTCCAAGGTGAAGAAAAGCCAACAAAAGTCATCCGTTCTCGAAGTGTTTCGAAAAAGATGGTCGCGACAAAGAAATATTACTGTGGATTGGTATACCACCATTTGTTTGCCAAAAGTCATCACCGAGCTTCGAAAAATCAATCCCGAAAGAAGAATCATCTTCCACCAAGACAATGCAAGCTCGCACACAGCCCAAAAAACAAGGCAGTATTTAACGGAAGAAAACGTGGAATTATTGGACCATCCTCCATATAGTCCCGATCTAAGACCTAACGCTTTCTTTACTTTCCCGAAAATTTAAAACAGACTGCGTGGTCAAAGGTTCCAGTCACCAGAAGAAGCAGTTGACGTATTCAAAAATGCCGTTTTGGATCTGCCAGCAAACGAGTGGAATAATTGCTTCGAAAATTGGTTCGAGCGCATGCAGATGTGTATTAATCTTCGTGGAGAATAATTCGAAAAACAATAAAGTCATACAAAACTACCTACGTGTTGTTTTATTTCCATATGCAAAACTTAAATACATTCCTCGTATAAGCATATCAGGTAATGAATTTCTTGCTAATCGAAGAATATACGTACTCGTCGGCAACGATACCAGTTTGTGTAACAACCACAGCAATACTTGAACCATTCACTTACAGTTACTATAAACGTTTGGATATTTATTATACACTTATTATTATTAACTTATTGCAGGAATCTCTATTTCCTAGTCGTTTATCGATAGTGAGGCAGTGTGAGAGGTGACAATTGCAAACATTGTTACCAATTTTTTACAGCCCCTTCTAAACGAATACAGTCGTCTAACATTATTTCTTTGTTTCAGCCATTTTGAAATCCTTATGCAAGGAGTTCCTGTCGTACAACGTGTCAGCTATCCTTTACCTGATAAACTACGAGCAATATGGCCGCAGTACCGCGTCAGCACAGTACTTCCTGCAACTAGCAGGCTATCTGGGCATTCCGGTCATCGCGTGGAACGCTGACAACTCGGGCTTGGAAAGGAAAGCAGCAAGGTAGCTATCATATAATCTGTCATTCTAGATTGCTCATCAAGAAGATGAAGATATTCAGACAACACGAAGCATGTGTTACTTCCACCCACAACACTCTTGCTTCGATAGTATGGAAGTAACCTTGCGTAAAAATTTTATCGAAATCAGAGCGGCATTAGAGGGGTGGAAAAATATCGGAGATATAGCGGGGATCAGGGTGTTTCAGTTTATTATTGCATAACTTTAAGATTCGATAGAACTTTTAAAATTAATGCATAAAGTCTATATAAACATGGGTCGAAAAATGCGTGGCTTCCGAAACACAGGGTGTTTAAATTTACTTTCTAAAATAGTTTTTTTTTAAATATTTCGAACAATATTTGATGCATAACAGTGAAAATTGGTATACAAGGGTTTTTTGTTACGACAAAACGAATCATGGGCATAGTTTTACTGTAGCCGCTAGAGGGCGCTCTCTACTGTACCTGTGGTGTATTAAAATGATTTTTCCTTAGTGCAATTTTTTGCTTTTTGAATAAAAAAATCTGATTCTCCGCACTTTTTAACATAAAAAAGCTCTCTTGTGAATTTTCGTTATAGTTAGACGTTTTCGAGATACGAGGCGTGTTTTTAAAGTAAGTACCGCTTTGACCTAAAAAAACAACAAGTAAATTTTGTCCAAAAATGAATTATTCACTTGAAAGGCCATACTTTACTCTACTTTTCTACGTAATTCCCATTACGATTGAGGCATTTATCGTATCTTGGGACCAGCTTTTGTATGCCATCGTCAAAGAAGCTTGCCGCCTGAGTAAACAACCACTGCTTCACATTTTTGGCACTCAGCGTGAACACAATGTCCGATAATTTAAACGTTCGGACACAATTCGTATAAAACACTTCTTGAGACAGCAGGAAACTGTTCAGCTAAGGACGAAATCGTGAATCGAGTGTTCTCTTTCACTCTGCAGTCCAGTCCACTTTTTGGATCAGGTCATCGGTAATGACTGAAGGTCTTCCTCATCTTTAAAGGCCCTAACCCATTTTCGCACCATTCCATACACTTCACTGACTTGGTGATGAATTTCAACTGATTTGAAGCCTTGTGTACAGAGAAACCGTATTATAGCACGCACTTCGCAGTCGGCGGGATTCACAATCGGTGGAGGCATTTTAAAATCACGCAAACAGATGTAGACTCGATCGGATGGTTCCGTAACGGCGTCTGTGGCTACCCAACAGATGTAGCTACACGACGCGCATGCGCTAAGCGGCGACCGCAGCGCTGCGGCGGCGTAATTTAAAAACGGTACTTACTTTAAAAACACGCCTCGTATTTCGATTTTTAAGGTTCGATGCATTTTTGATTATTTATGATAAAATAACGTTAAAAATTCAGTATCTGGATAATTTTTAGAAGTAGGCTGTGCCTGCAAATATTTTTGAAATTGAAAGCAGAATAAGGTTAAACGTCAATTAGCTGACAGTTAGTTTTGTTGTCTGTTTCTTGTACCTGTTTTTTCTTTTGTAAGTTTTATAAAAATGCCATTTTTATTCTCCAATCAAGAGTTAGCGGATAGTCATTTTGTGTATGGTTTTGTAAATGGAAACGCAGCAGAAGCAGCCAGAGAATACGCACGAAGATTTCCAAACAAACGACATCCAACTCGCTCAGTATTTGTAAGAGTGCATCGCCAAATAATTGAAAATGGTTTTGGAAATCTCCAAAGGGATAGAAACATAAATGTTCGTCATCGCAGATTTACCCGTATGATTCTGCGTGAGTTTGATAGAGATCCGACCACAAGTGTTAGCAGAGTTTCTGGTGCCTTGGGAATTTCAGCAAGCCATGCTCACCGTGTTCTTAGAAATGACCATAGACGTCCTTACCATTTGCAACCTGTGCAAGGACTACAGCCAGGGGACGGAAAACGAAGAATCACATTTTGTCAGTGGATTCTTGAGAGAACTGATAATAATAGTGAATTTTTAAGTAACGTTTTATGGACCGATGAGTCATGCTTCACTAGACGTGGAGTGGTAAATTTTCATAATCAAAATATTTGATCGCATGAAAACCCGCATGCAGTTCGGGAAAGAAATTTTCAGCATGAATTTAGTGTGAGCGTGTAGATTGGTATCTACCGTAATCGACTATTTGGACCCTACCTTTTGTCTGCAAGGTTAAATGCTGCGACCTTCTTGGAATTTTTAAAGGCTGAAGATGCAAATATGTGGGATGATGTTATGTTAGATTTAAGAAGATTGGCCTAGTTCCAGCTTGATGGTTGTACAGCTCATTATTCGAGAATAGTTAGAAACTGGGTGGACGAAAATTATCCAGAAGGATGGATCGGACGTGGAGGACCAGTCGCCTGGCCTCCACGATCCCCTGACCTAAATCCATTAGATTTCTTTGTGTGGGGATTTCTAAAAGAAAAAGTGTACCAGACTCCCGTAACCACAAGAGATATGCTAATAGGCAGAATCAGGAATGCATGTGATGAAATAAGGCCTTATTTGAATAATGCTATACCACGTTCGATCATTCGTAGATGTAAATTGTGTATTGAACAATTGGGTTTACATTTCGAGCAACCACTTTAGATTTTGTATGTTTGTCCTAACTATCCAATAGCATTTTAGTTGTAAATAATTAATTTAATTTGTTAAAAATAATATTGGAAAATTAAACAAATTAATATTCTGTTTTTTATGTTTATCTGGAGTTGCTCTGTTTAAAAACACAATCTAAACAATCATCTTAATTATTTGCAATGCCCAAATCGAAAATGTAAAAAAAAATATTATTTTCCCATGAATAATTAAAGATGCATCGAACCTTAAAAATCTAAATACCTCAAAAACGGCCAACTATAACGAAAACTCACAGGAGAGCTTTTTTATGTTGAAAAGTGCGAATTACCAGTTTTTTTATTCAAAAAGCAAGAAATTGCACTAAGAAAAAAATTTCGGTCATTTTAATACACTACAGCGGCTACAGTAAAACTATGCCCATGGTTCGTTTTGTCGTACCAAAAAACACTTGTACACCAATTTTCACTGTTATACATCAAATATTGTTCGAAATATTTAAAAATAACTATTTTTTGGAAAGCAAATTTAAACACCCTGCATTTCGGAAGCTACGCTTTTTTCGACCCATGTTTATATAGACTTTAAATTAATTTTAAAAGTTCTATCGAATCTTAAAGTTATGCAATAATAAACTGAAACACCCTGTATAGGGAATATGCATATGTATTTTATCTGTATTGCTTTCTATTCTTTACGTTAATATAACGTAACACACATATCCCGTTCACGGAAACGTCTATATTTTTTTATATCGAATATTCGAAAAAGGGATGTTGAAGACATTGATTTAAACGCTGCATTTTTCGTGTCCTTTTCAGTGACGTCACAACTGATGGCTTGTCTTTTAATTATTATATTCGTCATTGTTCGTCAGAGTGGTTCGTTGGACCTTTGCTGTTGGTTAAAGTATTGTAGGTCATTAGGTCTGTCAGCTCTAGTTGTTCAGATACCAGACAAAGTCAGTGAGAAAGAAGGGACGAAGAAAGGAAGGAAGGAAGATCAATGAGGAGGAAGTGCGTCTGCTTTAGGTGTGTCTTGATATTGTTAACTACTATTTAAGTAATATTAAATTGATCCAAAAATGTATTTAGAGGTGTGTATATGTGGAAAAATTGGAATTTTGTTTGGGTCTAGAATTGCACGATTTGATTCTGTTCACAGTGCGAGCCGCGGTCTTGTGTGCTTGCGAACTTGCTTGACTTGTGTAGTGTACTGACTCACGCAACAGAGATTGCTGTGCGATTCCGCTTGACTATAACCTAACTGCGCCTGTTGTTTGATGCAGTCCCTTAGGCAAGGGATGTCGAGGTCTCTGTGAAGGGTCTTTTGGCGAGGAAACACCACCCTGCGCATGCAAAATTCGTTGCTGTATAGCCGAACTTTGTTGATCAAATTTAATTTTGAGATTCTACATAGCATGGCATACTGCCGAACAGTAATTTGGAATTTGGTTACTTACGCCTTAATGTGCTTCTGCCAAGTCATCCCCTTGTCAAGAGTAACACCAAGATACTTGACAAAATTTCTTCATGGTGCACAAACTCCATTTACTGAAACCATAGACGGGACGCCGCTTTGTTTTTTAATACAATAGATAGCTTGCCGTTTCAAGTAATCAATTTTGATCAGTCATCGATCCGCCAATTCCAATACCTCAACCTGTCGTGAACCAGATTCGCGGTACTCGACTGAGTCACTAGTACAGTATCATCAGCATATAGGTAGACTTCACAGTCGCTGGGGCAAGAGACGTCATGAGCTGAGACTGAATACAGGATTGGCCCGAGAACCGAACCCTGAGGGCCACCGGCTCTGATGTCGACAAGGCATTATTAATTTTGATCCATGATTTCTTACCCTCAAGGCTAAGTTACAAAGGTTCTAGAAGTCAAAATGGAAGCCCTTTTGGTTTAATTTATAGAGACACACCTTGTCAAACGACTTCGAGACATCCTGAAGCAAGATGCCAGTACTTTTGTTTAGGGTGAAGTCTCTGAGCCCCTGGCCACTCGGTCAACAAGCCTAACCGCCTGTAGCTTCGTACTATACTCTTCATTTAATTATACGTTTCTCTAATTTGCTGACAACTTTTGGAAGTTTCCGACTTTGTCTTGGCAGCGAAATTCTCCTGGTGGCCGCCAAATGTATACACTGAATGATGGCAATACGTTCGCTGTCAAACGTTGTTGACACCTTTGCTGAAAAAGAGACGTAGCATATTGTACTTAAGTAGCTTGATGGAGGATTCTGCGTCAATAAGTACCTGTTGGAACTGCTCAAATTGATAGGTTGACAATCAGTGATAGCGACAAAGGATTGGCTGCTCACTTCCTGATATTGTGATGTCACAACCAGGCGAGGCGGAATGTCCGGGTGGAGGGTGGGCTCGAAGGAACAACATCGAAGATAAAATTAGTTTTTCG